TTAATAAAATTTTGACTAATGATTTATTTCAAGAGAACAACTCCTTTCACAATACGCATGCTGTGTAGCGTGGTCCTTGTGCCCACAAATTTCCATTTTATAGTCTCGACTCTTACTCAGGATATGACTGGGTGGTGCAGAGTCACAGTTTTAAGCACTTCATTCCTCCAACTGTTTGGTACAAATACAATCGTACTTACCTATTCCATGAACTCCGATTAAGGATATTTTCTTTTTTTTAAATCAGTTTTGTGAACCTATTAAGTATGATAACTGAATACAAAACAAATTCACATGCATGCCTTCAAACTAAAACAAAAGAAGTCTCTAGTCACAGAAGTTTGCCACATTAACAGACCCATCATCTCGCACGTGACGCTGCACTCCACACTACTCTGGAAATGCTCATTGCTTACTATGGCTGCACAGGCAACTAAAAGCAAACGAACAAAAACCCATAGAAAAGCTTGGGTTGATTTCTGAAGAGAGAACATTTTCCTAAAAGCTAATAGTTTTAACAGACCTATTATGCGGAAATTCATAAAGTTCACACGTGAAACAGTCAATTAATAGGCGCACTACGTTTCATAATTAGACATCAAAACACACAATATACACAAAATAATTTTGCTCTTAGCAAATACTGCACAATGTCCTCCATACCATTTTTGTAAATAGTCCAGTGCCTCCAAACGAGCACCAATCTCAAATGTGATTCCAGGACGATTTGGAGGCTTTTTACTCATCTTGATATTTTCTTTTTCACTACCTTTGGAGGAAAAAAAAAAAAAGTCATATTAAAACACATAATGTTGTCTGAAACATGTCACTGACAGTAGATATATTCCAGAGGGTGGAAAAAGACGTGCAATTTCTATCCTGACTTTCCACTAACCGCTTAGTTTTCAGAAGTATAGTCAAGGCCCAAAGAAGGCATTAAAAAAAATTCACGTATTTTTATTCAGATTTCTTCCCCTCCCTGCAAAAACAGTCATCAACGTTAAGTCAAAAAAATAAAAAAACCCTGGTGCTCATCTCCAAAACCGTACTACACTGTAATTCCCTGACATCCCTTTAGAGTATAACTTTAAGAGTTACGTAGAGTCAATGTGTTTTCTCTCCTCTGCCATGGAAAAGGTCAAAACCAAGAAAAACGTACCTTACCAAGAGCAGAAATTTAAAGATAAACACGGCCTAAAGGACAAATAAGATGAAATCAGCAAAACCAAAAATAAAGAAACAAAAAGGCCACCGTCAGCCATCCTATGCCCTCTTGAGTCTCATTCATAGCACGAAGCAAGTTTCGCTCACAAGTGCCTTTTAATTTTTTTGGTATTTCAGTGACTATTACAAAATCACTTCTCTTCTCGACTACTTTCACGATAGTCGTGACTTCCTGACGTACCACCTTCATCATCCCGAAGCACAGAGTGGCTTGCCGCTGGGGCCGCAGGCTCCTGCCGCATGCCCACCGGAGAGCAAGGGTGCCCGGCTGCAGGGCCAGAGCCTCCTTGCTCCGGAC